GTGAGACCGATGCGCCTCTCCTGGTCAGCTGGTTGGCTACTGAGGAAAGACCTGCACTACACCTTGGTTACCTGCGGTCCCTTTCACGCTGTCGTTGATCACTCCAAAATGTGTCCATGCCCTGCTGCTGAGTCCGCTCCTTTCCTCTTCAGATATGGCTGACGACGACGAATACGACTCATTCGTACGACGAGGGGAAGAGGGGATGCCTCCTGAGCGGCTACGACAGAAAACTGGAGGCTTCGGGCAGAAGCTACGTGGGTGACAGCAGAAGGTACGGGGCGATCAGTCTGAACGAAGTCGACACCAGGGTCGTACGAAAGTTGCGTCTGGTGTATAGTGGAAAGTGACGTCCTTCGTCACGTACACAGTTCTTGGACCGCACGCAAACCAAAAGGCTCACCGCACCCATCCTTCCGAGCCCGATTGATTAGAACCATCTGAATCTGGTAATATATAGTTATTTAACACGTTGACGACATCGCGCGTTTTGGCATTTTTGGCCGCGTGGGACCAGAGCGGTTCTGCGAGCGCCGCCGCCTCACAACAAATCTGTGGATTTTGAGCTTTAAATACGCAATACTTCGATGCGACAAAATGTTTTCACTGATATTCGGTGTGTCAAACTTATTGGAAGGTACACATGTGAAAGTGCGGTCGAATGATGTGTTACAGCATTGAAAAGGCAAGTTTCACTTACTTTTGCTTTAGTGATTTCAAAATTATTTTGGACGTGGTTGTTTCGGTAAAAACACATATCTTGCCACACGAGTAGCTTTGTACTCACTTCTAATATTCTTTTTTATCTACATGTTCGTGTTAATGAAGAGAAAATGAGGAATGAACTGAACGGATATTTTCGTCCGGTCCGAAAAACCTCTGCCAAACTAAAGAATATTTGGTCATTCTATAAGCCGCGTGGTTCTTGGTTATGTTGTGGTATGGCCTAAAAAATGAACACAAAAAACCTGGGAAGAAATGGCGCGTTCAAGAAAAAACTGAATGTAAAGGGTGTGGCAACTATAGTTGCCACAATGTCCATTGCGGCGTGCAAAACGCGGCAAACCTAGTTGCCGCGCTGTCGTCAAGGTGTTAATATATTAGAATGGCAACACTCGCTAAAAGATAGACCAAGGCGCTATTTAGTAATTTGGTTGGTCTCTGATTATGCACCCTTTTCATTTCCTTAATATTCTGTGTTTAGCTCTCAAATTATGAATGCATCGAAGCCATAAAACGGCCGTTCAGCCTTGCCGACATGCCCACACTTGCAAAGGAACTGATTTTCAGCGAACCGACAACTAGAATCGAGAGAGCCACGGGTAAAATTTCATCGACCATTACCCAATTTCCTTGTTCCTTCGTAGCTCGTAAACACGAAAACTAGCACACTCAACTATGTATGTAGTTCCAGTATATACCTGCTGAATCTTGTTAGCTCACCTCAAAAATGGAGTTTAACGCATTTTTAGAAAAGGAGGAGACAGGGCGGAAGAAGGCCTAAATAGCGGTATATCGACGTCATCCTTCGTATCTAATAAGATGAGGAGGGAATAGTGCAATTTCGTCAGTGGGTGCGGTGCCACAACATGCGCTCATTGGAGGGTTCAGCGATAGTACTTTTTTTCAATTGGTCCTCTGATTTGAGCGCTGCACATAAAAGGTAGCATTGATCTGTGACCTGATTACATGTTAATTTTACCTCTTCTGATGAAAACCAGCGTTTTTATCAAAGCAACAACCCAGACTCAAATTGGTGGAGTAACAACGGTCGATAATGAAATTGTGGATGCCGGGTTCACTGTACAAGAAAAAAGGAAAGCAAACCACTAATGAAGCCCATGAACAAGGAGTCTCTCTCTTCCCCTTGAAATGAGGTGAGGGCGTGGTTGGACGAGTTGTCTGAACTTGCTCGCTCCATTATCCCCTAACCTGCGCGTATTTGAATTTTCCGCTACGTCGTATTCCGAGTTGCGCGTCATGGGTAATTAGTCACTTTGTAAGGCCTCAGCGCTGTTATCGCTCTTTCAAGCAGCGACAACGGCACGGCTAGAATACTCGCGAGCTACTTTACACTACTCTCAGAATAGGTTGGAAAACGACCTCCTCTGGTGTTGCTGTTTGAGTAATTCACATGCCGGACATCAGTCCATGTCTTTCGTTTTGCATGCATGACTCATCTTTTATAAGGGATAGCTTCAGAAGCAGCTATTGCAATTGAAATCGAAGCAATACAATCTCTAGCAAGCTAAGAGATAACAGCACTACACTACCAACCGTGAATCAACTAGGTCAACTTCACCTGTCGTCTCTTTGATCATCGTTTTGCTCCAGCAGGCATTAGCAACGTCCTCCTTTGTCCGCCGCGGGCACGAGTGCTCCAGCACGATTCTCTCCGCTTGAGGAAAACGCAGCCCTGTATTCCTTTCGCTTAGAATATTCGTGAAAAGCTGGTCATTGGGTGATGGTCGTCCAGATGATCTTTCAACGTCCCGAGGGGACCAGTCGGCAACCGTTCTGATCCAACGGTCGCACGACGTGTCCGACGCACCCGATCTTCAATTCTCAAGTAGCGTCCCTCATGTTCTACCATTGGCGTAGCTTCGGAACTCCGGATTCCCCTCTGCACTTGCGTGTATAGGGTTACTCCTAGCATCGTCCTCTCGACAGCGCGTTGGATAACGCTGACATGCTCGTCCTGCCTGCGCAGAGTCCAAGTCTCTGAGGCGTAGGTTAGGGCAGGAAGGACAGCAGAATCGAAGAGGTGCACAGGACGAGGGCGTTCTTTGTCTTCTTCACTACTCCCTCGATGTTTTCCATCTTGACGTCGGTGGCAGTCTGCCAAAACTTCAACGGGCATTCCGGATGCTCCTCTAGACCTTTGCTGCTTTTGCTAATACTGCTGCTCTTCGCACTTCGGGATCTTCTTTTATTGCCTCTCTGCATAGCCCTGACAGTCCATAAATCATACTCGCACTGTTCGCTGATCGGATATGCACCGCTCCCCTTACAAGATCGTCATTGGTCAGCCATCCCTGCTGATATGATTCGGTAAAAGTTTGACAAAGAATTGCGGCCGTCTGAATGCGAGATCTGCCCGTGGGATACAGGGCTGGAACCTTACCCACCACGAACCAGCGTAGCAAAAGTGAATTAGGGTAAGGTCGGGTTTTTGCTCCAGTGTCAATTTGCTGGTAGACAACACCATAACTATTCTTATAATCGATAAGATCAACCCACTCCTATTCAGTCGATATTCCATATAATAATCACAGCTGGAATCATAACTAATCCAGATAGTATCCGATGTGTGCTTGTAAAAATCTGTATTTCAGAAAATACTCCTGCAACGTTCGGTTTCGGTGCGGTGAGCCGAGTGTGCCGTGATATGGGTAGTGGAAATTTCATACGCATCGAATAATAACCGCTGGAACTGACGGAACACTAAAGATTAAAAGAATCAACTGGAGTGAAACCCCAGCTCAAGAATGAATGAACGTATTTAACGCAAACTTATATCCGTACCTAGTGTGGGTTTGCTACAGATGGGTACGGTATCGCTATGCAAACAGAAATCGCCAGCAAGAAGCGCCCTTGGGTCGATAATGATGAGGGCCAGGTTCGGGTGTGGATTCGCTAAGTACAGAAAACGACTTTTCGCAATTTGCATCGCGAAAAAGTCATTTCTGTCCAAGTGGCCCACAGCCAGCAGGCTCAGCCCAGCAACCGAGGTTCCGCCCTAAAATCGGTACTGGCAGAGTCCGCACTGTCTCAAATTTTCGTGCTCTCTCTGCTTCGGATTTTTTCTTTCTCACTCGAAATTCATTGCTCAATGTCTTTCTTTTTCAATGTTTCCTTTCACATCAGCCCCTTCTCCCCTCTATTCATACTTTCAGCGAAAAATCATACTAGTCGGATCGTGTGGTGTGTTTTTAATACTTCCTATTTGCACATCAGACTGAACCGTCATGTTGCAGCTGAAGCTCATTGTTCGAGCCCGGAACCCGCTAGAAAACGGCGTATGTTGGCTTGGAAAAAAGCACCGACTTATCAGCCTTTGGAGTGCTCCGGCGAAGGCATCGAAAAAGGTGAGAATCATATGCAAGTGCTTTCGTTCTCTCTTTCGCTTGCATTCTTCACTGTATCTAAAACTCAGTCCCAAACAATTAGTCCCGAAGACGTCAGTCAGTGAGTCACACATTCAAATTAGACAGACATCACCATTTCTTCCTGCTGCTTTCACAGAATTTTTCACTGCAGAAAATTTCTAATTATATTTAATGTCTAAACTCCAGCCATTAATATTTTGTTTAAGGGTGCTGTGATAAGCATTCACTCGGATTTTCTCATTCACGTCTACACCCTCGAAAAACAGAAGCACAAAAAGACCTAAGATAAGATCGATATTTGTAACATATGTATAAGTACCGTATTACTATGTTAGCACAGCCAATATAACAAATTTAAATAAAGCTGTGCTAATTTCTGTTCGAAGTTCTGGCCGTCTGTGCAACTACTAGGTCATATTACACACCCTGACGGAATATATCAGTCGAGATCGTTAGGGAAACCACGGAAGTTAAAAATCAGTTTTGCGTGCGAAAACTACACTTCGAATGCAAGGTGGGAAAGTGAGTTCAGCAGACTTGTTTCCTACGTAAAGGCGAAAGTCGGGCTCAGCCTTACTGTGAGGACCCCTCTCATAGGGTGGGGTGCTAGGTCCGAAACTGTAAAGGTTGTGACAACTTAGCACCCCAAAGCGCCTCGCTGGAGCGCTAAGAGCCTACGATTTCGAAATCCCGACGCCCTGTAAATCCGTACCCACCCATTGTTCAATATCTTCCCCGTGTTGTATTGATGGCCAACTGTGCTCTTTCGATACCGGAGTCCTCGACTCACATCATCCCTTACGTTGCTGTCTGCCTTTAGACAACTCCGTAGCGTAGAGCAAAAAGATTCGTACTTTCTGCGTTCCTGACGGTATTTCTTCCTTTTTCCCCTTGTGGTCCACTCCCATCTCCACTTTCGTATTCGAGATTTGACTTTTTCAAAGCGTTACGGAAAAAGACATATTCGTAACGTCTTGAAAACCTCAGCCGAATCAAAGAATTTTTTTCCCATTCTGGGAGCCACGTGATTTTTGAGTATGCTAATGCATGGCCTAAAGAATGACCACAAAAAATTGAAGAAGTCGCGCACGTGCTGAAAAAATTGGTTCCAAAATGCTGACGCGCATGCGCGTCTGAATGTCCAGTACTGCCCCAAATGTCTGACGCGCATGCTCGTCGGTCCGTCGTCGAACCTCTCAGTGTTACCTCACATTTCGGAAAGTGCTTCTCTTCTTTTACGAAGTAAAAAACTCACATTTCGCAGAAATGCGCGCTTCCATATTCAACAGGTCATAACATCTATCTAATGCACCAGTTTAAGGTGACGTAGGGATATTTAGAAAGCACAAATATCCCCTCGTGTTTGAAAAGCTTTGCGATCATTCATTTTTTCCGAAAAATCCCCTTAACGCTTTCCGTTCGAACGTAGCTTTTGTGATTTAGTGACCATGACTTTCTTCTTACTCGTATCTGTGGCGAATTACAGGATTTGAGCTTTCAAAAAAGCGTTCACCCGTTTTTCAATCCTCATAAAAAAAGAATTCACCTTTCGGGGGCGGGAGGAGGGGTTGCCGGTCGGTTTTTTCAAAAAGGGGAGTTTTTGGCCTTCAAAAAACAACTTCCTGTCGTCTTGGTTTCGGAAATTTTCGGTATGGCAGGAAATTTCCGGGTTTAAGCTTTCTGAGAAGCGCTTGGTCGTCCTCCAGAATTCCGTCTGAACTTCTCCCCTAGGTTTTCAAGCAGTAACCCCAGATTTTCAAATTACACTCATAATTGTTCCAAAGCTCGATTTTGTTTCTTGAAGAAGCTTCCTTCGAGAAATCTGGCTTCTGTAAAATACTATTTTCGAACCGAGATGTCAAAGCTTTCACAGTATTGCAATTCTTTGCTCCGATATTCAATCCAAATACACCGAATTCCATCCAGACAGTCTTTCCACTTGTGATATATTCCAATTGATAGCGGACCGTGAGGCAGATCCCTAGCGAAGAGCCACGCGAAATGCCCTTGTGGTTCGACAATCCAGAAAACATAATTAGTCCACCTTCAGTTTCTATAACTGCCTGATAGGTAACCATTCCCATCGCTGTACAAGTTTTGAATGCAAGAACAGCTAATGCGGCTAGTTTCATTTTGGACTATGAACTGAAAGGCTGGTCATCCTCACTTGGTCGCGGCACATCGGTTCATTCGTCGAGCTCGTCGATCTGATAGACGAAGCGGTCAAACTCAAAGTGAACAACTTCACTCAACTTTTTTTCCCAAATGCATGTTCTTTTCCAGTGTTTCCTTCTCTCATTCAACAGACAGTGACAATATCGCCACGATTTCCGCCGCGGGCTCCCGGTTGCATGATATCCCTTCCCACTTCATTAACAAAATACGTCCCCTCGTTACAATAGTCCAACGGGCTTCTAACACGAAAAGCTTTCCAGATCGCCATGGCCATTCATTATTTAGATGTATGCCCCTATATGCTGTCCTCTAGAGGCAATTTTGCAGGCAAAGCCGAATTTGACTCAAGTTTGAAAAAATCTGACCACCATCCAACCATCAGCCTTTCAGCTAGTGCAGGTTTTGGGATGAAAGATAACTTTTTAGTGTCTTTGAAAGAGGAAAAACAAGTAACTGACCAGTTGGTGTGCATCATCGCCATGATATTTAAACCAATGATAACTGTCGTCAATATATATTCGCAGTTGTACTCAGACATGAGATACTATATCTGCGACAATGCTCGAATTGGCTCAAATTCTCGATTTGCACTGGAATTGCATACCAGAAATCTCTGAGACGTAAATATACATCTATGATGGGTCCATCTTTCCATGGGCTACAGGTCCACGACAACCATGAACATCATACTTCCCTGAACCAGTTCGGATTTTGAGTGCAGTATTCATTATGCATCGATTAAAGTAATCGCTGACGAAGTAAGGCGATATAGCCTTCAGGCCTCCTGCAGATAAATAGAAGCGAATCTCAAAAAATTGACGGAAGCGTTCGTACCTTTCACCTATCAAATCCGTATTCTCTGCTGACCATGCCAACTTCTTATCTCGATATGCTGCGCTGACACAGAGAATAAGTCCTCTGTTTTCTTTTGACCGTTAGCCAAAATAGAAAGCAATTTGAGATCAAGTTCAATATGTTAACTATGTAGGAATAAACCTCCATGTTGAATGTTCATGGCGCACACTGAGGAAATTTCACTAGACCGGAAAATCGCAGTATCGAGCGTTCCAAGTCTTTCCCGAAACCCAAAAGTTTCGGGGAGATCCCCATTATCTGAAGCTTAATCGAGAAAAGCTGCGGTACATGTGGACGCTCGTCTTGTCCTGCACTCGATACGGCCTTTTTTCTCTTAGCACTCGATATGTCTAGCCCCTATAAAAGGCGATCCATTCTGATGAAGTGCCTTGTCATTTGTCGCTCAAACCACCCTCTTCCTATAAGCTCATTTCAAGGTTTGTCCAAAAATCTATCATTCACAGAAATGTCAAATGCTTTGGGAATTAGTGTGCCACGGCCGTTGTCGTCACCACTATTGGATGCTTTATTCACATCTCTGTCATACTTCACGATATCAGCGATCTTCGAGAAATATCAAACAAGGAATGTCGGAATTTAAGGTCAGTAACAGCTGTGGTTTTTGAAATGGCTGTGAGCCCCGTGAGGTTTTGGCTCTAAAGTAAGCTGGAAGGTAAACTTAGGAGATTCATCCAACTTCTAGAAAAATGGGGTGGCTTGGTGACAAGTAGCACAGCCGAAACTCGTGATCAAATCTCTGATCAAATTTCACCTGGTCCGATCAGGTATTTTATTGCTTCAGGGGCGGGTACTTCCGCCTAGGCAAAAAAATGAGTTGTACATCGAGGGCAATTGCAAATACTTGTAAAGGTAAAACATGAAATAAGTGCTACAAGAATTTTAACGGGAGTCGATCACAAGGCGGTCGAAGCTCTTGAAAATGCGTCGCTTAATCCAGGCGTGCCATGCCTGTTTTAGATCGCACCTTCATAGGCGCCTGGGAGACGGTCAATTCAATCGTCGGCTAATGAGGTCACGCCGCTCACGCGGCGGGCAGCGTCGCGCGCGGCAGTTGGTGCGGCGATTTTTGTATGGGCCTTGGCTTAACGGTCATTGTCCATAAGCCGATGTCAGACTTTGCGATTCGCTAGCGTCTGCGGTCGCGTCGCGGCCAGTGAATCATTCAATTGGCTGGTAGCCGCAAGGAGCCTAAGGAGCTGGTGGGACCAAAGTTCCAGACATCAGTGAGCCAACAAGAGTCACCTTAAGATCTCCGCAGTTATTTAAGCCTCACTGTACAGAGCTTGTGCCATGTAAAGGTTGTCCTTTTGAACATAATTTGACTTCTTTATTAATCAACTGCCTGAATTGTTATCAGAGAGCGATAATCTGGCTAAATCGGAAAAATATTACGTTCCAAGACGCAGTGGAACGGTGAGGAAGGCATAACATCAGTATGACAGAATAAGTTTGTAAATAATGGCAAAGGACAAGGATCCTGTATTTTAAGGGGGCAGGTGATCATATACCGTGTTTCACGACTGGAAACTTCATCTAATCCTACATTCCCCAATGCTAGAACCCTGAATTCTAGCCACGGCCGACGTCGCATCGCGGGCTGCGGCGGCTGGCGCGGCGACCTAGCCATCGCCACGATTGAATCGTCACGCACCCAGGCGCCTAATGGCCTAAATTCCCGAGAATGGAATAGATTA